TGGGGGGCCCTGCTGCTGCCACAGCTTCCAGGGTGCCCTGCCACAGCTGCCACAGCTTGCTTAGCAAGGATGTGATACCACTTTGTGATATTATGTCCTGTGGTGTCACCTCCAGGTCAAATGATGGTGCAGTGTGATGTCAGTTCCAGGTCCTATCCAAGCCCTGCCCATTTCTGTGAAGTCACTTCCTCCTTCAAAAATTTATCTTTTAATTAACTCCCCTTGCTCCACTGACCAGTATTTTAATAGATTTCCTGGGAGAAATCTTGGACTACTAATGCTTACTTGGAAATGGAAAGTTAACAATCAGGAAAACAAGTTTGTCCCCCTCCCCTTTTCTTGTCAAGGTAGTTTTGTACTTGCAGGGGTTAACATAGGGAGCACTCCACAGTGTGATTTTCCATGATCCTTCCCATGCAGTCCATTCTGTAGGTTTCTTCCACCTCGTTCCCCTGCATGTGTGAACCTGACTAATGGGGTGTCTGTCCACACCACCACTGAGTCTTGCCTTGTACAACTCATTCTCTCCATGTTCCATTTAAATCAATGGCACTGATTTTCCACTAAGGCAGTAATTATTTAGAGAACTGCTTGCTGGATTTCAATCTATATATTTTTCGAGTGTGGGCAGATATGTGGATATCTAAATCTGCAAATTGGGTCCACGCTGAGAGAAAGCAGATTTTTCTCCAAACTTGGGGTTAAATCTCCCCCAAAACAAAAAAGTTATGTCTGCATGCATAGTGTCTCCCGGTGGCCCAGCATGGTGTCTCCTGGGGCCCCTGCAACTGGTGTTGTGTCTTTCAGGGGCCCTGTGTCCAGCATGGTGGCTCCTGGGGTCCCTGCTACAGCTGCAATGGCTCCCGGGGGGGGTTCCTGCTGCAGACACGGTGACTTGCAAGGGCCCTTCAGTCAGCGCAGCATCTTCTGACACACCTGCTGCTTCTCCTGAAAAACAGTTCACAGCCTTGGTGGCTCTGGGGGGCCCTGCTGCTGCCACAGCTTCCAGGGTGCCCTGCCACAGCTGCCACAGCACCCAAGGTAGGGGAAAAGAAGAAGGGGGAGATTGGCTGGGGGGAGAGAGAAAGAGAAAAAAGGAGGATGGTCTGTGAGGGGGAGAGAAAGAAGGGGGATAATCTGAGGTGGAAGAGAAGAGGGGTTATCTGAGGGGGAGAGAAGGAGGAAGAAGTTGGGATTAGCTGAGGGAGGGAGAAGATAGAGAAGGAAGGAGGATTGTCTGAGGGGGGGGGAGAAACAAGAGGGGGGATTGCCTGGGGTGTAAGAAATAGGAGGAGGGAGAGAAAGAGGGGCTGATTGAGAAGGGATGGGGGAGGAGAGGGGGACATTGTCTGAGAAGGTCTGGGGTAAGAGGGGGAGATGGCTATAGAAGGGGTGAGGGGAGAAGGGGGGTGAGGGATTGATAGATAGGGGGGGCAGAAAAAGAGAGAGGGGAGAATTTTGCCAGAGAAGGGGGAAAAGGGAAGGAAGCAAAGGTGGGCAAATGCCACCTCTTCTCAAGTTTCCTGTGAGTCCCCACTTGTATAATCAGAATTCTGATTCGATTTGATTTGACTCAAAGCCACTATCCCAATACAGTGGAATGTACTTAAAGCCTAGTGAGCAATGGACCTAAGTGAGCTGAACTATGTGTTAAATTGGGATTTTACTCTGCCAGTAGCAAATGTACTGTCAAATATGAGTTGGTTGTATTAAGAGTGTAAAATTGTGATTCTATGCTTACTTACCTCATTGAATATAGTGGGGTTTAGTTCTGAGTGCACATGCATAGGATTGCACCATTGGATACTGTCATCCACCCCATCCATCGGAAGCTCTTTCCTGTATGCCTGAACTCTTCAACCCCTTGTCATACTGGGAGGTCGTGCTGAAGCCCCCTTCCCTCCTCCAAGCCATGCCTGGCTCATCCTGCTTGTCCTCCATCCACATGCACAGCCACAGCTACCAGGACTACAGCAGCATCTTGGCTGGTTAAGAACATATGAAGTGCCCTGCTGAATCTGACCTGGGATCCATCTTGTCCAGTGAAAAGTATGCAGACGGAGAGTGATTTCAGCTAAGCATACCTTTATTTAGTTCAGGACAAAGACAACTGACCAGCTCGCAGGCTGGTTTATGTGCATTCAGAAAACCCGCCACCAAGTACACCTAAACACACCCCCTACTCCCGATAGGCTATTTACAGTAACCGGACGACCATTGGTTCCCCGGCTGGGAAGCTAGCCCTTTTGATTGGGCCAGCTAGGATCCTTCGGATCCTTTGTCTTTCGACTGAAGCTACAGATGAATTGTGCCTAGCCAGCCCGGGCAAGTCCGGGCATGTCAGGCTGAATACATTACATCCAGCATACTGGTTCACACAGTAGCCAACCAGTTGCTTGGACATAGAGGACCAAACAAACCAGCTATAGAGACCGAGGCCCTCACTTTATGCTGCCTCCTAGCATTCAGAGGTATTTAGAGTTTACCTGCCTTTGTATATGGAGGTTCCTTTAGTCGCCATAGCTAGCAGCCATTGATGGACCAGAATTATTATTCTTGTCTAAGTTGATCAGTTTTAATTTGCTTAGACTGCAGTAACTCTGCATAGGAGTGCACTGTGATCACATACTGACTGCCATTCAAGTTCATGTTGTGCTCTGTATAGGGCAATCTGAAAATTTAACTTCTGCACCTGCTGGATTTCATCTTTTCCTTTCTAAAAGCAGCACTTAGACAGCAAAATATGAGAAGACCACGTACAGAGGAAGAAAAAGGGAAATGGGATACAGGAGAGAGATAAAAGGGGAATATTTAGTAGCAGAGGAATACAGATTATGTGGTGACTCAGTGCTATAATAGAGACTCTCTCCAATCACATGTGTAGGGTTAATAGCCTCCAGGTAGGGCCTGGAGATCTCCTGCTATTACAACTTATATCCAGACAACAGAGATCATTTCCCCTGGAGAAAATGGCTGCTTTGGAAAGTGGACTCTGTGGCATTGTACCCTGCTGCGGTCCCCCCCTCCCAAACCCCGCCCTCCACAGGTTCCACCCCCAAAATCTCCAGGTATTTCCCAACCCAGAGCTGGCAAGCCTACACATGTGAGGAATTTTTCAAATATCAGGAAGTAGGATTGGAGCTACAGTTTGAAATGTCAGATATTAGTCTTCAGCAGCAAAATAAAAGAGGAGCCCAGTGGCACATGAAAGACAAAGAATTATTCTTTAAGGTGCCACTGAATTCCTGTTTTATTTCGCTAGAAATCTAAACCTTTGCTTTTGGAATTGCAGCTGGGATGCTACTTTTGAACAGGCCAAATAAATACCTTTCCCCAAATTAATGGCAAGTAATACACCCATCCCCTTTCTGTGTGTATATGCATAGATTCCACACAACTGAGACTGGAAAAAGGAAAATTTAGGGGAATTATTGAACATTGGTACCAGCTTGGTCCCCATGGTTTTATTGCAGATCTCATTTGATTTCCATATGTTACAAGAACCAAATTTGTCAGAGTGCCTCAAAAGTTCATATTTGGGAAAAGAAATACTAGCATTTACATTTGCAAAATTATGATTGTTCAAAAACTATCAAGAAATTTGTCCATTTGCAGTATCTGCTTTCTTATTCCCTCACTGAGATATTTATGTGTGTTTTATTTTCTCTTTGTTGTGAACTGGATCGTGAAATCTACTACTAATAGAATATTGTTTCAGGATCTGAAAATACTATTTTTTTATTTTTTGCTTGCATGTGACAATGTGGTATTTTAAGGCTGTTATTCCCAAAGATTAATTTAAATCTTTTATTCCTAAAAGAATATATTTTCCTATAATGGGGCCAAACAGGATCACTTATTCAGTTTTCCTTCTCTCACTTTACTGGTACCAGGTTTTTTACAATAAATTATAAATTAAGAAAAAAACACTAATATCAGTCTTATTCTTCCCTCTCATATGAGTTGTACTATTTCGTGTGTGGGGGTCCAATACCTAATAATTATGACTGAGATCTAAAGAATAACTTTGTCTTTGGGGTACTCAAGGGTTCAGGCAGCAATGCCACATGGAATTTGTAAAAAATATATATTTCTTTGAACAGTAGACCCTTATGTCATACCAAAAATTGATTTTGAAACCATACCCAATTTCAAAAAAGGTGAGGAAAAGGCTGTCTAGTCCTGCAGTACTTTGAAACCAGGCCAATATTGATAAACCAGAAATGATAAAATACACAAAAGTATAGAGGTAACAAAATGAAAACATCAGCATTGAATTAAAACAATAACAATATCGTTGTGATCTGAAAACAGTTGAATGTTCTCAGATGTTTATTCTTCCCACTATAAAGGTCAGTTAATAAGGAAAATAAATTGTAAAAGACAACTGCTGCAATTTTGAAAACTCTTTGCTGGAACTACTCTTCAGCTGTTTAAAGAGACCATTCTTACTAAACTTCCTTATGTGGACATCCCTTGCTTTCATCAGGTCTTGACCCCAAGGTCATGCTGCTAAATTCATAGAAAGGGCTAAAGAGCAAGTCATTTCATATGAATGTTTACAGTATAAATTTACAGTCCTCCTTCAATGGAGGAATGCTTCTGCTCTATACAGTTTTTGTCAAACATTTTAAACAAATTGTAATAACCTTTGTCATATCTCATTTTACTTGCATAAACAAGCCACATAGAAGCTATAAATGATGGAAAATTTAATCCACATGGCTTGCATTATCAAAACTGTATTATTTTCCACCGTGTCAGCTAAGCATTATCTTTGAAAACACTCCTTTTAAAGGGAGATGCCACAGTACAGAACATTTCTAATCCAAAACTAGTTGGAATTGTCACCTTGTAGATATTTCTTTGATAAGCAAGTGACCCTGTTAGCGGCCATTAGTGAGCCAGTATTTCCACTAATCAATGGAATGCACAAGTCTTCCATATCTCATCCAGTTTGAATGCATGTTTTACTGAATTTGTATATTAAAGCAGTTGAAATGAAGTTGCTAAATGTGAAGACAGACACATGTGCTGGGTAAAGATTGAACTTTTGCTACCATCTGAGGCATTTTTAAAGCAGAGAATGGGTTGGATCCAGACTGTATCCAATCCCAATATGTTTTCAAATCCCTTCCATCAGACATTGGAATGTCTATTTTGAACGTGGTTTTAGTCTGCTTTTTAAGGGTTTTTTAACTGAAAAACTTTAATATAATAATTGAGTGATGATTTTGATCAGATTTTTATCTTCTCCTCCCTTCAAGAAGCTGGGGGCATCATGCATGGTTATCCTCTTCTGCTTTATCCATGTAACAACTCTGAGAGAATGCTTGGCCCAAGGTCACCCAGTGAGCTTCATAGTTAAGTGGGAATCCAGATCTCCCTGATCATAGCCTACCACTTTAACTGCTGCTCCACAGTGGCTTCTCTTGAGGGACTTGGTATCTCCACATCTCGAAGCAAAACCAGGTCTGGCTTTTTGATTTTAGAACTTCTATTTAAATGTAGCCAAAACTCTAGATATTAAGCTTCACAAAGCACTGGCATATTGTGTGGTTACCCACAGTGTAAGTGGCATGTTGCAGACAGCTCTGCATGCAAGATTTTGGCCCAACATTCAAAGAATCTGTCATAACCTCTCCTATCAATCAGTCCTCCCTTGTATTTAACATTGGCACAACAACATTTTATTTTATAATGCCTGCCAGAGAGCTGTGTCAAGAGCCCTTTGTTCTTGTATCAGTTTATTTTGCAACAGTAATTACTTGCTGAATACAAATAGTTAATTAAAAAGCATTTAAAACAAGCATTTAAAAACAATTTATAAGCCTTTCAAACCAGCTCTGAGAGAACAAAAATCTGAAAACTGCAAGAGCAACAAAAAACTGTACTTGGAGAAGATCAAAATTATTGTGTCTAGAAAATGTTTTTTTGTTAGTTTAAGAATTTGTTACCTGTCATCTAAAATTTGTCACAGGAAAGTCCAAAGGGTTCTTATTTCCTTATCTCATACAAGTAGTTTTCATTGAAAGAGTCATGTTAGATACAAAAAACCCCTATGAAATTATGCAATATCCTAATGCAGTTAGTAGTGAACATATGAAGTACTTGATGTTGAAAAGAAATGAACTTCCAGTTTATTGATTTGCATGGTGGCTCAGTGGTTAAGATGCTGAACTGCAGGCTGTGGAAGGTCGGTAGTTCAGCAGTTCAAGACCCGGGTGCCGCATGACAGAGTGAGCTCCCGTCTCTAGTTCCAGCTCCTGCCAACCTAGCAGTTTGAAAGCAAGAAATTGCAAGTAAATAAATAGGTACCACTTCAGTGGGAAGGTAACAGCGTTCCATGTGCTTGGTGTTTAGTCATGCCGGCCACATGACCACGGAAACGTCTTCAGACAGCGCTGGCTCTTCGGCTTTGAAACGGAGATGAGCACCTTTACCTTTACCTAAATTGCACCTCTTGATTCTTTAAAAATTATATAAACAACTTTTTTTAGATATTATATGTTTAAGTGAATGGGACCTTTAATTATATACCTAGGGTGGCATTAACATCATGCCTACTTTGGGAACACAAAGAATCCCGATAACTTGTAGTTCATATACTTGAAGTTCTACTTTTTTGTGTGTCCTCACTATTTTTTATTATTCTTTTGTTTTTCAGTTTTCTCCTTGTGTTTGGTTGCTTGATTTTGTCAGTATTTTCTACTATTCCTGAGCATACGTGGCTTGCCACTAGTTGCCTCTTCATTCTGGTAAGTGGATTTTATTAATTTTCAAGTAAGTTTTATGAATTCTCAAACAAGGAAAATTATGTTTCTGGCATTTGACTGTGTGTATTATTGTGGGCTTGGAATCTAATCACTGAGGCTCAGTCTAACGATACATAACACAAACAATGTGTCTTAACAACTGGACATACACCTTAATGAGTCTTGAATACTAAGCAGTTTTATTCAAGTGTCCATCAGCAATTAAAAGAGGTGAATTTCCAGAATAGCTGTGGTGGGGGAAGCAAATGTGTGTCTGTGTGAAAAGCCTGGATAGCAGGAAAAAGGAATAAGCCATTTCAATGAATGAAATGATCAGCAAGTAGAATGTGGAACAGTGTGGGAGAGGATGGTGATGTGTGAAGAATGAGTCATTTTATGTTTTATGAAGCATAGAATATTAAAGCCATCTTCTGCTAAGGAAGTGGATTTAAGATATTTTGTTATTTTGTATTTATCCCCTCCTTTGATATCTTGTACTGAGCTCTATATTTTAAAAAAAACTACTGCGAATTGCCAGTTTTAGAACATTTTTAGAAAAGCATATGCTGATAGCAAAATGGCAGCTAATAATTTCTCATACACACACACACCCTTGATACTTAATCACAGCCACAAAGTGGCAATTCCAATCACTAATATTCACTAAATACCATTTTCCAGCTGCAATCCAGAGGACCAGCTGCCTCCTAAAATACTGAAATTATCTTTAGGCTTTCTGGCATAATCTGAAAAATGCAATCTTTGACAAGATCAGAGAGGAAAGGATTTCCACAACTGGGGGGGCAATTGCTAGAACACTTTACTGTATGTCCTTGTCATTCAAACTTACTGACATCATTAAAGGGTTACTCTTAAATTATCTAGAGGATCAGCTGTGGTTGTTCTCAAACTTTTTAGCCTAAGAACCAATTTTATCCCACCTACAACATAGAATTTACTTCAATTGTTTACTTGAAAGATAATCCATCTCTCACTTTATAAGAATGGGCCTTTTGTTCAAAGCTTGCTTTTATTGCTGAAATGGAAATTAAAATATTTCAATAACAGTAAAGTCCATGTTAACCTGTTGATTGCTGGTGAGGCTATGTTTAGTATGGTTAATTATTTTCATATAATTGACTAGTAATAAGGCCCGTTGGGGAAATAAATACAACAATCTCTAGAAAGAGGCTCTGGGTGGGTGCCCCGGGCTTCAGCACTCAGTGTCAATTTGCTGTGGCAACCTCAGCAGAGTATAATGACACAGAGTCCACCATTTTCTCCAGGGGAACTAATCTCTGCCATCTGAAGAGCAGCTGTAATTCTGAGTGATCTCCAGCCCTCACCTGGAGATTGGCAACAATCGTTCCCCAGGAAGGAACCACTGGCTTGGATGGTGGAGTCTATGGCATTGTACCTGTCTGAGGTCCCACCCCTTCTCAAATCTCACCCTCTCGAGGCTCAATCCCTCAAATCTCCAGGAATTTCCCACCTGGAGTTGGCAACACTATCTCCTTCCCAGCCAAGGATCACCCTACCTTTATATCCCTCTCACTCTTCAGCTTTCCATCTCCCACCACCACCTGCAGCCTCTACCATGCTCTGAAGCCCTGACTGCTACGTCACATTGGCTGTCATGGAGGGGCATCTGAGCAGGGTATAAGAACACAGAGTCCACCATTTTCTTCAGGTGAACTGACCTCTACCATTTGGAGAGCAGTTGTAATTCTCAGTGATCTCCAGCCCTCACCTGGAGATTGGCAACAATGATCTCTGTCGTCTGGTATCACCTGGTATCACAACTGAACATCAGACAACAGATCCCCCCCCCCTCCGGAGAAAATAACTGCTTTCGAGGGTGGCCTCTATGGCATTCTATTCAGCTGAGGCCTCTCCCCTACCCAAACTCTGGCTTCCTTGGTGGTGGGGGGGGGGGTCCGGTCTGGAAGGTGTTGTCTCACCAAACCTGGCTTGGAGGCTAAAGATGGTGGGTTTTGTCCCCTGAGGGAATCAATCGTCATCTGGCAAGAAGAGCAAAGACAGTACCTGCGTTCACTGGAGCAAAGCAAGTGTCTTATGAGGAAAGTTTTGGCAGGCACCGCTTCTGTGGGCGGGACTCAGGCAACACAGCCAGTGGATAGGGACAGCTTCTGAGTGACACATCATGGAGCCAACTGATTTAGGAGTATGTGGAATGTTCAGAAAGAGCTGGACTCAGGCAACACAGCCAGTGGATAGGGACAGCTTCTGAGTGACACATCATGGAGCCAACTAATTTAGGAGCGTGTGGAATGTTCAGAAAGTGACACCCCACTTCACAATTATATATAAGGAGAGATTTTATCTTTTTAAAATCTGTTATTAGCCGCTGTGGCGAAACGGGGACCTGCTCTCAGCCCTGGGAGACTGAGCAGCTTTTCTGAGGCTTGCAAGCCCGTTTTTGCCTTCCCACCATTCCTGGTGGGGCTATTTCCCTTCATTATACGGTGCCACCACTCACTGGACACCACCCTCCTAGAGGGACAGTGAGACCCCTCTAGCTGATTCCTCAACCTCGGGAAGTTGGTACCACTATCTTTGGGCGCCCCCTGGAGAGTTGGCAACCCCTCCAATTTGGGCCCGTTTGTGTTTCCTAGCCTCCCTTTGACCCTGGTAACGTGCTGAGTGGGGAGGACTAGGTGGTCAAGGCACACCAGGTTTTATTTAACTCAACACGGTTTATTTTAACTATGTACAAGTTAAGCGCAGAAAATAAACACAAGCACATTAACACAACCTGGGCAGAAAATAAATACAATTTAAAACGCCAGTCCTCTGTCCCCCTACACACCCCTCTCTATCTCTGGAGGTTGTGGGCCTCAGGATGGGTTTTTCTTTTCCCCTCCTGTTATTGTGGAGAAACCCCCAGCCCTCCACTGGACTGGTCACTTGTACTGTTGCCCTCCTGGCTGTCCACCACGGTTTATAGTGGCCTGGATGCCCTGGAGTTTGAGACAACAGGAACCCACCTGTCCGCTCCCTTGAAGCTGCTGTCCACGCTAAGCCAAAGGCTGAAGACCAGGCTGAAGACTCAACTCCCCCCTCAGGAGCCAAAGCCTTTTTCTCCCTGACTCCGCCCCTGGGGTGTGTCCATATTTTCCTGCTCTTTTCCCTAAAGCTTCTGGGAACCGTAGGCAGGGAGGTATGGCAGTTCCATTGTTCCCTATGGAGTACCTCCCCCCCTCCTAAGGACTACCAAGCTGGCATCCATTTTAAAATACACTGCTGCCTCTGCCTGGCAGCCATTGCATCACAGCCACCATGAGCCTTTTCAAAAGAGTGAGTGATACATATTTTAAGTACATTTATAGAACTATGGATCTGTTTCATTCTCCTTGTCTGGGCTTTCTGCTGGGTTTAGAAGGGTGTTTAAGATTGCATTGTAAACCTCTGGACTTAGGTACAATACCTGATAAAAGGTAAAATAGCTGTGCTGCTGATGCACCTGCCTATAAGTGGATTCACGACCCACTACCGTGTTTCCCCGAAAATAAGACACTCTTATATTTATTTTTTCTCAAGAAGACACACTAGGGCTTATACCACAAATGCATAGCAATCCTGCTAGGGCTTATTTGGGTAGGTCTTATTTTCGGGGAAACAGGGTAGTTGGAAAATTTGAATAGACTAAATGGAATAATAAAATTATGCTGATAGAAATCTCTGGTTCTGATCCTGCCCTGAGACAAAATTACTAGGTACCGATCAAGTTAGTTGTATATGTTATGTAGACATTAACCAATCATCATAGGAGTAGCCATTACATGAAGCACAATGAACAAGTTGGCACCCTCTTTCACTGTAATCCAACTTTCTGGCTTTGATGCAGGGATAGCTGTGCAGAACTGCCACTCCTAAATTATGGAACAATGTCCTTCCTGGAAGTGCAGTTTGGCACCTTCTCTGTCAACTGATATAATCTGGGAGGCTTTTGAAAGTAATTGTTCAATGTGTTCCCCTGAGATTCTGGTGCTGTTTTGATTTATTAGCACTTTATTTTGCTCTTTTTTACATTTACTTTTGGATATTTTATGAGGTATCGTTGTTATTCTTAGCCTCCTTGGGGGATCCTTTTTGAACAAGGTGATACAAATTTGTTAAATGAATAAGATGTTGTGTTACCCACGAATAATAGGAGAGGGAGTTGACAGGGATGTATATTTACATTTGGATCGCAAAATGAGAGGGCTTATCACCCTACACACTCTACAGTTCAGTTGGGAACAGTGTTAGATTTTTTGCTTCCAGTGTTTAAAGCAGATGTTGGGGGAGGGGCCATGGCTGAATGGTAGAACATCTGCTTGGCATGTGGAAGATCCCAGGTTCAGTCCCTGGGATCTCCAGTTAAAAGGACGAGGTGGTAGGTGATGTGGAAGACCTCAGCCTGAGACCCTGGAGAGCTGCTGCCAGTCTGAGTAGACAGCACTAGCCTTGATGAACAAATGACCTGGTTCAGTATTAGGCAGCTTCCTGTGTTTATGTGTGTGTTCATTATCTGCAGTGCCACTTGGTATGCATCCTTAATGTGCATATGGAACCCTGCTTCTGTACGTAGATCTCTCTTGTTGGATTTTATTTTATTTTTTAGATTTTTACCCTGCCCTCCTGGCCAGGCTGACTCAGGGCGGCTTACGTGACAATATAAAACAGTATAATATGACATACAATATAAAAACCAGATAATACACAAATTCTTAAAACCATAAATATAACAACAAGATAAAGTGCTAGTACTTCATTCCTCATCATACAGTCAACTCCTTGATCTTCTGCTGGTGTCCAAGGCGATCAGGTCGGGTGGTAATTGGGGGGATCCAGGGGGATCAGGCTCTCTCTTCATAGGCTGTCAGATGTCAGTATTGGTGACAGTAATGGTGGCACCAACATTTTAATCTCCCTAGCTATGCTCTGATTGTTACTATGTTCAGCTTCATTTTTAACTGATATTGTCAAGAACAATAACA